CTCTCTCTCTCTCTCGCTCTCGCTCTCTCTCGCTCTCGCTCTCTGTCGCTCACGCTCTCTCTCTCTCGCTCGCTTTCGCTCGTGCGTGCGTGTGCCTTTTTCTTTTTTTGTGTGTCTCGACAGACCACGGATCAGATATGAAACTGATCGGAGCACATGCTACACTTGATCGTCGGAGCAGGTGGGTCTCTCTCTCTCTCTCTCTCTCTCTCTCTCTCTCTCTCTCTCTCTCTCTCTCTCGCTCTCGCTCTCGCTTTCACCCTCCCCCTCAGGTTCCCTCCTCCCAATGTCGTCGCAGATCCATTTGCTCTCTCTCGCTCTCTCTCTCTCTCATGGCAATACTTCTTCCCTTTTCCCAATCCCGTCGCTGGTATTTTCCCCTTTTTCCACCTCCTATTACAAGACTTCGCAAGTGGTTCCTCGCTCCCCTAACCCCCACCTATCAGAACTGACTCACCATCCTCCCCCTTCCCCTCCAACTGCCCTCTCCAGCCTCACATCCTTACCCTCTTAACGAATTCTTCACCCCTCCTCTTGCTGATCTTTTCCCGCATAGTCCCTTCACCTAACTCCTCCCCTACCTCAGCCTCCATAGTTTCTTATCTTGCGACACTCGTTTTCAGTCTTTCAGGCTGAAACGACACGGGGCCTGTAAGCCCTTATTTCTAGGCTTTTAGGCTGAGAATGCGGGACAGGCCCTGCAGGTCCCTGTGGCTACGCAGTATGCCACACCCCCCCCTCCTTGAAAGACCTAGCTTACCTGCGAGGGCGAAGCTGTTTGTCTGAGGGAGGGACCACAGTCTGGGTGGTTGGGGCAGGTCGTGAAGTTCCTTGAGCTAACCTTTGTCGCTCGTAGTGAGCGTAGATCAGCCGTGCGGATGCTTTCAAATCCGTTCCTCAAATCCACCGCGTGTCGTCGGGATCGCATGCTTTGAATGTAACTTTGTACTGTCGAGGCTTACTGCCATACTTGCGATCCGTGATGACGCGGTCAACTTCCTGATGACCATCCATAGATGGAGGATCCTGCGATCGTCGGCCCGGGAAGTCGTCGCTCTTAGCTGGTGTATATGTTGCCAGCTTCGAGGCGTGAAAGACTGGATGGACCATCAGATGCGGGGGGATGTTGATCACAAATGAAGGGCCATCGGGCTCATCGCCCGTGGCTGATGTTACGGGCCATGGTCCAAACCACTTGGGAAGCAGTTTGCGTGAAACATCATGTTCCAGCGCAAACTCTTCCGTGGAGACCCAAACCAGATCACCGGCGCGGATGGGACATGGCACGCGACGCCTGTTGGCTTGCTGCTGCATGCGGACTCGAGCCTTTTGCATGTTCGCGCGGCCTTGAGCCAGCAATTCCCTGTACTTCCGGAAGGAAGCGGGAGAGCAAGCGGCATCGATGTCGGCTGGTCGTGGGAGGAGAAGGTTGGCGAAGATACAGCCTTTCCGTCCACCGTGGTGTAACTTGAATGGAGTCATGCCGATCGCCGGGTGCACCGAAGTGTTGTAGGCGAACTCGATGTCGAAGAGGCGGTCAACCCAATCTTTCTGGTCCGGACGGATGAGCGTACGAAGCATCATTTGAGCGGTTTGATGTGCCCGCTCCGTCTGCCCGTCTGTCTGAGGATGCCGAGCCGAACTTGGTTTCATTGTTGTGTCGGACTCCTGCATGAGAGCAGTCCAAAATGTCGACATGAAGAGTGTCGCGGTCGCTGGCTATGTCTTCCGGTACACCGTGGCCGCAAATCCAACCGGTGTGCAAGAGGCGTGCCAGCTCGGGAGTCGTGGAGTAGTACTTGCAAGGGAGAAAACGCGCATACTTACTCAAACGGTCCACAACCGTGAGGATGCCGTCGTGCCCGAGGCGATCGCGGGGAAATGGTCCAGTGACATCCATGGCAATGGAGAGGCCAAGTTCCCGTGGGATAGGCATCGGGCGCAACTCGCTGTAGGGGTTGCAATTGCGGGGGCTTGCTTCATCGGCAACTTCGCAAGAGTCGCAATACCGAGTGACATCGGTAATGAGGTCGGGCCATCAGAATCACTGTCGAAGCCATGCAATAGTGCGGTTGACTCGGAAATGGTCGGTGAGTCACGAGTCATGGTACTCCCCGAGAAGGCGAGTCCGAAGACGACGGTCTCGTGGGACACACAATAAGTCCTTGCCTCTCGAGTGGAGAAGCAAGTACCCGTCGACAATGCGATAGTGGCTGGCCGACAGGTGATCCGAAGATAGTTGCGCATACAACGTGGCGAAGTCCGGATCAGACTCATAGCCCCGGATGAAGTGTCGCTGGAGTTCCTCGTCGAATGCGGAGGCATGATGTGTCATAGCGCAAAGATCAGGTCTTTGCGAGAGTGCATCTGCTGCGCGATTGCAGAGGCCGGGGAGATATTGTGAAGTCAAATTGGTCGATGAAGTGCATCCATCGTCCGATCGTGCTGTTCACCGTATCCTGCGTCTTGTAGTAGGTTAATGGGTTGTTGTCCGTGACCCATGTGAACCTACGACGCCCAAGGAGGAAGTGCCGCCATCGCTTGAGAGCCATTACGAACGCGAGGAGCTCCTGGGAGGCACTTCGTGGCTGAAATACTCCACAGGGTGCCAGTCGTCGCCGTCGTGTTGTTCCAAGACTGCCCCAATGCCATAGCCGAAAGCGTCAGTTGTCACTCTCGTAGGCAGGGTGGGGTCTAGACGCTAAGGACGGGTGCCATGAGCATGGCCGTCTTAAGTGCTTGGAATGACCGGCGTGCGTCGTCATCGAATGCGAATGGCACCTTTAGCGATTGTAATCTCGTCATAGGTGCAGCAATCCGTGAGTACCCGGTGATGAATCGATGATAGTAGCCCGCCAACCCCATGAATGAACGGACCTACGTGGTGTTGGTGGGCTCGGGCCATACGCGGAGGGCCTCGATCTTGTCCGCAAGCGGACGGATGCCTTGCGGCGTCACATAATGTCCCAAGTACTCCAGCTCTTGCCGCGCAAATTCGCATTTGTCGCGGTTGGCTTTGTACTTGGCTTGTCGTAGCCGCTCCAAAACGGTGCGGAGGTGTTCCACATGCTCGTCCAAACTCCGGCTGTACACCAGGATGTCGTCGAGGTA